CGGGCCTGGGAACGGGCGGCAGGGCTGGGGCGCGGGCGGGGGCCGGGCCGGGGCGCGGCGCTAGGCCGGACGGGGATCTAGTCAGGGCCGCCGGCGCAGAGACCCGGCAGGGAGCGTACCAACGCTGCGCCGTGTCCGGAGCTCTGGGCGTGCGCGCTGCGCTCTGGCGGAGAGGGCGCCCCGCTCGGCTTTTATTTTCCCGGTGCGGACCACGTTGAGAACAACAACAGTCTGGTCCGGGGCCAGCGCCAACTTGTGCTTCTTGAAGTGCCTTCCGTGGCCACTAGCTCCTCTGCGCGGGGCTACGGAGCGCTTATGCCCCCGCACCAGGATGCCTTGGCCTGGGTGCCAGGCGGCTGCGCGGCGCAGGGGCGGCCCGCGCCTGGGAAGGGCTCGGCGGAGGAGCACAGAGGTGCGCACCCCAGGCTGCGCGGCCATGGAGGAGGGGGCTCCGGGTTTGGAGACGAGTAGCGTGCGCCTGGGGGGACTCTCCAAGGCCCAGAGCTTTGCAGGCTGTAGCCGAGAGTGCACCGAAGGCACCTGAGTTAGGTCTGGGTCCTGGGGGCCACAGGCCTGCCTGCAGGACGGGCTTTAATTTGTTCGAACTAACACAGGGTACGCCCTCACGCGGCCGGCCGGGGCAACGCGAAGAATGCGAGGGTGCCTGGGCTGGGGTCTCTGAGATCCCCTGCCATAGTGGAAGGGAAGGTTCCCTCGAGTTGCACGCCTGGGATTTGCGGCCTTGGGGCCTAGCACCACGCATCAGCGCAGGACGGGCCACAGGAGCCTTTTCGCATTTCATGCCTCACTGTTCCCTGGCTCCAAGTGTCCCTTTTGTGATAGATAACATAAGTAGCCACTGCTATCCGTGATGCCCCAAAAGCCAAATGGGGGCTCCAGTGCGGGGCAGTGTAGGTCGCAAATCCCTGCCATGTCCCTAAAAGGGTGTGGCGAGAGGAGTGGCTTTTAGGGGGTGCACCCTGCAACACCTGGTCAGGGAGGGCTGGAATGAGGTGCTGGTGCAGGCAAAGCCCTGAAGCTGGGCAGGAGATTAAGATGACAGTGGAGAAGGGGGACGGATCAGACAGTAAGTAGCTAGGCCATGGAAGACATAGGAGATGTGGCTTAAGAGTCCCCGCCAGCTTTAGGCCGGTAGGTGTCTGGCAGCTCCCTGGCCTCTGGGTGAAAAGGAATAATTTTTGCCTATGGACAAACTAGGAAGGCCCTAACTCCACTGGTCTAATTAGACAGATGAGGATACAGGCCTGAGCTTGAGACAGACTGGGGTCCTGCCAGCCTTCAGAGATGCCTTTTAAACCTAATACTCCTGGGTCCAGAGGACCGCACCCTCTTCACCTTCCCCATTACCCCCTTGGCCAATGAAAAAGAGCAAAAGGAGGATCAGGAAGTGCCAGGGCTTCGCAAACTAGTGCCTGTCTTGCCCCCTTCCCTGAGTCTGGCAGTCTGCAGGAGGGGCCAATGGGCCTGTGGGACTCCTAGAGCAAAGTGTGTAGAAGCTTTCTGCTTCTGGGTCCACTGCCCTCCTCTGTCCCCGAATAGTTCTTCCGGGGGGGGGGTTCCAAACACCATCCATATGCTGAGGACACCCACTCCTCTCTGAGATCCTGGCAGTTATCTGTGCATCAGGGTGCTCCCCCTCCTAAGGCTAACTCAAGAGCTCTAGCCAAAAGGACTGATTTCTTTGTCCTCCACCCTCCCATCCAATCCCTTGGTTCCACTCAGGCAGGATAAAAAGGGAAAATGAAGGGACATGAGGCGGGAAAGAAGCTCCTCATTCCAATATCTAGTTTGGTTTTTTGCTAAGAAACTTCAACACACTGTTAAAGTCAAAATTGCCCAGAGAATGTTTTCCAAAAGACATTTCAAACGTCAAATGAACTATGGTTATTTGGAGACAGATGCTTGTAACGGTTTTCACCATATTATCACTTCCTTCCCATCCCTAACTCTAAACAGTGCATCTCATAAAGAATTTCCTTTTGTAAATAAAATACGGTTTTCAGATAAAGTAACCATAAGCCAGTTTATATATTTCTACACACTTTTAAACTTGCATTTTAAGCTTTGCTTACTCTTTAAACCTACTGTAAATTACACCCTGTGAGGAATGTAGCTTAGCCATTGTAAAGACATCTGAGTGATTCCTCTTTGGGTGTAGATCAAAGGTTGACACTGGGTTAGGTGCCTTCCTCAGTTACTCTCCACCTTTTCTGAGACAGGGTCTCTCACTGAAACTGGAGCACCTTGGTTCATCTAGCTTGGCTGGTCTCACAGTGCTGGAGTTACAGATACACACACAGCCATGTCCAGTTTTATGTGGGTGCTGGGGATTGGTACTCAGACACCCAATGCTGGAACAGCAGGTGGCTTACCCACTGAACAATCTCCCCAGATTACTCCCCTCTTCCTTTCTCCTCTTCCTCTCTCCCTTCTCTCCTTTCCCTCTTGCCCCACTTCCCATGCATACTGTGTCTTGGAATTGCGTATATTTTCCTTTTGTCAGTGGTGAAGGGACATAGACACAGCTCCACACTTTCATTCTCAAGGGAGAACTTTTTAGGTACCTTGATTCAGGCCCAACTGGGATTTGTGACATTGATGCAGAAAAGAATTTCAAACTAACCAGTATGCAGCAGAATTGGAGATTTTCTTAAAAAGAAATGGAAAGATGGCTCAGTGGTTAAGAGCACTTTTGCAGAGGACCTGAGTTCAGTTCCCAACATCCATATGGCAGCCAACAACTACCTGTAACTTCAGTTCCAGGGGATCTGACCCCCTCTTCTGGCCTCCGTTGGCATTGCACACAGGTGGTATGCTTACATAAATGCAGACAAAACACTCATGTACAAAAAGTAATATTAGAAAGATGCTCAAGATAATAGCACATGAGAACAGGATGTGGTTTTGTAAGTTGTTCAGCGTTAACCACATAGACTATTTGGAGACTCCAATTAGACTTCTTAAGTTTGTTAAGAAATCCCGCCCCTATCTGAATGTATACAATGTGTGTTTGTGTGGATTATGTGTGTATGCACTCACCCATACAAATGCAGGCCAGAGGGTGAAGTCAGGTGTCTTTTTCTATTGCTCTCCACCTTATTTTTCGAGACGGGGGTTTCTCACCAAACCTAGAGCTATTTGTGCTAGACTGGCTGACCAGTAAGCCCCTAAGATCCTCTGTCTCCCCCTGCTCCCATCATGGGTGTTCCCAAGGCATGCTGCCTTGCCCAGCTTTTCTATGTGTGCTGGGGATCTGAATTCAGGTCTTCATGCTTGCACTGCAAGCACTTTGCCCAGTGAGTCATCTCACGAGTCTTTTTTTTTTTTTTTTTGACAAATTATAGGGCAGCTCCAGAGGTGCCTTGGATGGAATTATAATCTGATAACGTAAAACCAATAGCCACTCGGGTTTTACAATGGATATGATATATGTCCTTTAACTGTAAATGCAGTTTCTGATGAGATTTCTACAAAATTGCAGGTTTACAGCTGGAAAGGGAGAAAGGCCTTAATCAATTGTGTTGGAATTCTTGCTTCTCTGCTAGTGAGAGGCTTCAACCAGATTCCTGGGTGAGGGGTTCCTCCTCTCTCCTGTCCCCATAATTTTCCCTATTTTTCTATCCTGCTTCACTTTTATTTTTTTGAGACAGGGTCTCATTATGTAGCCCTGGCTGGCCTTGAACTCACTATGTAGACCAGACTGACCTCTGACTCCCTGCTGCTGGGTTAGAGTGTACCACCACACCTGCCCAGCCCTCCTGCCTCACTTTTACTGTATGACTAATAAATTCAACAACTTTGCTTCACTCTGACTCATTCTGAAATTCTTTTCTGCAGAGTAGTCGAGGACTAGCTTCACTCGAATGGAGGTCTCTAAGAGCTTCTGGTAGCTACGCTGGACTGTGGTATCCCTGCTGCTGCTGACAAGTCTACCTCCAAACTAATCTGCCCTGCATCTGACCAAACTTCCACCCTCAGGCTTCACCCGCCTCTAATAGCTAAATCTCTCTACACAACTTCTTACCATGAGGTGGGCATAGGGGGCATGATGCCAACCTCTACTAAAAGGCTCCAGTGGCTACTCATCAGACAGGGGTAAGGCCTGCAGCAACTCCACCCAGGGTCTGCTCTGGCTTTGAAGCTCAGCCATACTAACCTTTTTCTTCCTCACACTTGCATTGAGATCTCCTTCCTAAGGCCTTTTCACCTTGGTGTTTGGCATATGTTGCTGTGACTGGCTTTCCACAGCTAGTTAGCAATACCTCCCAGCATTATTTCCTTCATAGCACTTTCCATCATCAGATACTAGCTTATTCACAGACTCAGACTTATGGGTGGTTTGTTGTTTGTTTCTGTGTCACTGTGTCTGTATGTTTTGATTTTCTTTGTGTGTGTCTTTTTTGAGACAGGGTCTCCTTGTAGCCCCAGCTGTCCTGGAACTATGTAGACCAGGCTGGCCTCGAGCTCACAAAGATCCGCCTGCCTCTGCCTCCCAAGTGCTGGGATTAAAGGCGTGTGCCATCACGCCCAGCTGTATGTTTTGATTTTTAGACAGGGACTTGCTATATTAATTTTTTTTAATTACATTTATTGTGGGGTGGGGCACATAAAAGCCACTGTGTGTGTGTGATCAAATTTCAGACTGGCAAGTGCCTTTACACACCGATCTATCTGCTGGCCCGGACTTGGTATTTTGCCCCATGTGAGTTCTTCAGAGTAGGGCTGGACCTGCTACACTCCCAACACTGGGTCAGGCTGGTATATGAAGTCTAAGTGACCGTTCTCCTTGTCAGGTTTGGAGTTTGAAGCTCAAGGGGGACACTGAAGTGGACTTTCATTTTGGGTAAGAGATTCATTAGGGAAGATGTTAATGTCATGGGAAGACAACATGGTGG